CTCGTGATCCTCCCACCTCGGCCTCCCAAAGTGCTGGGATTATGGGCATGAGCCACCATGTCTGTTTCAGGCCCTGTTCTAAGTGCTTTATAGAATTTATCCTATTTAATCTTTACAACTCTATGAGGTAAGTGCTATTATTAATCCCATTTTGAAGGAATGGAGACTAAGGCACAGAGAGGTTAAGTAGCTTGCCCAAAGCTACACAGCTAGAAGTGGTAGGGCCAGGATTGAACTCCACATGTCTTGTGCTTCTGAGGTCTGGATGCAGCATGGTCAGGAGGGAGCACATCCTCAAGTGCCTGCTGAGCTGGCCATGGAGAGGCAGCTGGTTCCTCCATCTGCCTGGAACCCTCCAGGAAGTAGACACTTGCTCCTTTACCTCCTTGCCCCTGGTGCTTAGCACATAGTAGGTGCTTATTAAATGCTGGTGGAATGACTAAAGCCAAGTAGTGGAGACAATTCTATTACTATTAACCACCTGCTGTGTGCCAGCACTAAGCACTTTCCGACTCATGAAGGTTGAGTCATCCCCATTTTACAGAGGGGAACACTGAGACTCCGGGGCTTGTGACATGGCCTGCCGAGAGGCAGAGGCAGGATTTGAATCCAGATCTCACTCCAGTGACTGAATGGGAACAGGATGTAGACAGTGGACCCTGAACACAAAGAAGAAAAGAAGAAAGCGCCAAGGCTGGGATGGAGAAAGCCTGGCTGGCCTTTGTGAGCATGGGGAGAGCCTCATAGGGGAAGAGCCACAGGTGGAAATCAGTGCAGCAAGTGCAGGTGGGTGAGGCACCCCCCAACCCTTCCCTGTGACTTTACTTACCCAGAAACCCACCAGAACATGGCTTTGGAGGGGAAGGATGCCCCCGCCTCTGGACAGGGATTCTGCAACAGACAAAAGTGGAGAAAGGGGAAGCCTTGGTCTCACATCCTGTGGTAAGTGTGTGGGAAGGGCAGGAAGACAGGATGAACTGACCGTATTTTTTTTTTTTTTTTTTTTTTTTGAGACAGGATTTTGCTCTGTCACCCAGGCTGGAGTACAGTGGTGTGACCTTGGCTCATTGCTACCTCCACCTCCTAGGTTCAAGTGATTCTCCTGTCTCAGCCTTCCAAAGAGTTGGGATTACAAGTGTGCACCACCAAACTTGGCTAATTTTTTTTGTATTTTTAGTAGAAACAAGGTCTCACCATGTTGGCTAAGCTAGCCTCAAACTCCTGACCTCACGTCATCTGCCCACCTCGGCCTCCCAAAGTGCTGGGATTACAGGTGTGAGCCACCTCGCCCAGCCCTGATTGTGTATTTGGTACTGAAAGTACATGTCAGGGTACCCTGTCTCCTTCCCAGAGGTGCATACCAATGAGCTTGGTGCTTCTCAGCAGGCAGGGCAAAAAGGGATCGGGCCACAGAACTGACAATGTCTCCAAGGTAAGAAGTAACCATGGCTCAGAAGAACAACTATGATTACACTGAAACCAAAACCTTGCTTTGCTTCTCAAAGCAGGGACCCTGCATAACGAAGACAATGAGGTTCTTGACAATATCCCTCAGCAAATGCTGTGGTGACAGACCTGTGCTGCGATTTCGTCAGCTGCTCCAGGGAGATTACACCAGCCCGTACTCTATCAGTAAGGCATGACGGTGTCCATTTCACCGCGTCTTTGCCATCGCAGCTTATCAATTGTTAAATTTTGTTGACACTCAGGTGAAGAAAAATTCCTGTGATAGTTTTAACTATATTTCTTAAGCATTTGAGCAAATTTTTTTTTTTTTTTTTTTTTTTGAGAAAGGGTCTAGCTGTGTTACCCAGGCTGGAGTGCCATGGTATGATCATAGCTCACTACAGCCTTTACCTCTGGGACTCAAGCAATCCTCCTGCCTCAGCCTCCACACAGCTACTCTATGGGACTCCACAGAGCTACTCTGTAGTGGGACTACAGGCGTGCACCACTAAACTTGGTTATTTTTTAAAAAACGTTTTGTAGAGATGGGTCCTCACTACATTGCCTAGTCTGATTTAGAACACCTGGGCTCAAGCAAGCTTCTTTCCTCGGCCTCCCAAAGCATTGAGATTACAGGCATGCTCCACTGTACCTGGTCCATCTGAGCATCCGTTTATATGATGTCAGATCAGTCTCTTCCTCAAAATAATTATTTCTTGATTTCACATATTGCTTCAGTGTTACCTGTTGTAAAACTCCCATGAACTTCTCCGACAGAGCACTTACCCCAGGGGTAATTTTCTTTCTTCTTTTTTTTTTTTTTAGAGATGAAGTTTTGCTCTTTGTCACCCAGGCTGGAGTGCAGTGGCGCAATCTCAGCTCACAGCAACCTCCACCTCCAGGGTTCAAGTGATTCTCCTGCCTTAGCCTTCCAAGTACCTGGGATTATAGGCAGGTGCCAGCCACTATGCCCAGCTAACTTTTGTAATTTTAGTAAAGACAGGGTTTTACTGTGTTGGCCAGGCTGGTCTTGAACTCTCAACCTCAGGTGATCCACATGCTTTGGCCTCCCCAAGTGTTGGGATTACAGGCATGAGCCACTGTGCCCAGCCAATTTTCAACATATTTGTTTAATTATGTGAGTAATATCTAGTTCCCCTACTTGACCACTAGCTACTTGAGAACAGGAACTCTGTCTGCTTGTTCACCACAGATCCTTAAGCCCTTGCTGGGGTATAGGGGTGATGAGCAAACTATGACCAAATCTGGCCCACTGCCTGTTGCTGCAAATAAAGTTTTATTGCAACACAGCCATGCAATTTGTTGACATACTCTGCTTTTGTGTTCAGTGGCAGAGTTGAGGAGTTTCCACAGCAATCACTGTATGGCTCACAGAATCTAAAATATTTTCTCTTGCCCCGAACACAAAACTTCTGCCAACCATGGCACCAACTAGAAATGCAATTCACATTTTGCTGAATGGTGAAATGAATAAAAAATTAAAGACTTTTGGTCACATGGGGGAGAATGAGACCTCAACACGGAAAAGGAATGAGGTTGGAACTTGGTGACTTACAGACTGCTGGGGGTCTTTAGGGAAGAAGGGGGGTTGATCTGCCAGGCAGGACAGCACAAACTGTGCCACCACTAGAGACAAGCACAGACAGGTGGACAGGTGGCGGACCGGGTCACTCTGGAAGCCCTGTAGGAGAGAAAGCAGAAGGTAAGTCATGGAGGCAGAGGAGGGTTCTCAGAGGAGATAAAAGGTTTCTGATGCAGGGGTCAGTGTCCACGCTGGGGACCAGGGCAAGAGGATTTGAAAGGCAGAGCCCTGGCATTCCTAGTGGTCCTAATGTTCTTTTCTTTTTTATGGTGGGGGGTTGGGGATGGAGTTGCACTCTGTCACCCAGGCTGGAGAGCAGTCAGTGGTGTGATCTTGGCTCACTGCAACCTCTGTCTCCTGGGTTCAAGCGATTCTTCTGCCTCAGGCTCCTGGGTAGTTGGGATTACAGGTGCACACCACCATGCCTGGCTAATTTGTGTGTATTTATAGTAGCTGGGGTTTTCTTGCTTCCTTTGACTCCTGGGGAAACCAAGGCTCAGAGAAGCACCTTTTCTCAAGGACACACAGATGATCTGGTCCAAATGGCGATGCTCCTACTGCCACATCATGATGACTTCTGCATCTGCTGCCCTGACATCTGGTCATAAACACTCTAATTTTATTTCTTTTTTTAATTTAAAAAAAATTTTTTATTTTTAAATTTTAGGTGTATTATATATGTGTATTTGTATGTGTATGTATATAGATAGATAGATAGATAGATAAATAGAGGGAGAGAGAGAGAGACACAGAGTCTTGCTCTGTCACCCAGGCTGGTTGTGGAGTGGCATGATCTCAGCTCACTACAACCTCCGCCTCCTGGGTTCAAGCAATTCTCTTGCCTCAGCGTCCCGAGTAGCTGGGATTACAGGTACATGCCACAAAGTCTGGCTAATTTTTGTATTTTTAGTAGAGATGGAGTTTTACCATGTTGGCCAGGCTGGTCTCTTAACTCCTGACCTCAGGGGATCCACCCACCTCGGCCTCCCAAAGTGCTGGGATTACAGGTATGAGCCACCGTGTTCAGCCCAGAGCCCTAGTTTCAAATAGCAATTCCTCTACTGGATTTTTTACTCTTCTAGGTTTCTTTGGTGTTATTTTTTTTGGCAGATAGGAGACCTTGGATATTTCAATGACAATATGGCCCATCTTCCCTAAACTGACACTGTCTTCCCCACTTTCTATGAGAAAGTTTGTTCTGCATTTGCCTGAGATGATCTTGGGCTCTGCACTCCCCAGCTGTGTGGCCCTGAGGCCATCATTCCCTTCTCCTAGCCTTAGTTTAAAATGGCCTGTTAGAATCCATCACTAGCCGGGCACGTTGGCTCAAGCCTGTAATCCCAGCACTTTGGGAGGCTGAGGTGGAAAGATCACTTGAGCCCTGGAGTTTGAGACCAGCCTTGGGAACATAGTAAGACTTTATCTCTATTTAAAAAAAGAAAACAGAATCCATCACTGTGCCTTGTTGTGAGAGTCCAATGGGACAGGTGTGTAAGTGCCTGCCACAGTGCCTGGCACATGCTTGGAATCCCAGAGTGTAAATGGTCCCAGTATTATTGTTTCTATGCTGTGTCCCAAAAAGCTGACTTAGGTCAACTGTGGGAGCCCAGCCTTACAGAAATTACTGAATAACCTGTGGGATTTC